CATATTATTACCTCATTATGCGAATTTACGTTATCGCTATTAAAAAAAAAAAAAAGCATGGCACATCAGGGAACAATTTTCTTGACAGATTGCAGTCTTACACGCAATTTTTGTAGTTCTAGCTGAGGTTGTGTTCTTGAACTGTCGTATATATTTAACTAGATTTCGAAAGCTGACGCACACCACCAGTACCATATCCCTGTCACACAGTGAGGAAAAACAAAAGAATATCATAATTGCAAATTTCTCAATGGCCGTTAACAAAGGTTCTGCTAAAGTACCGCTAGGCCCAGGTAATATCCCCCGATTCTCGGAACCCGCTGATTTCAGCCTGATATAGTAGAGTAGGCCAAACGTTAGCGGTAGAAAACAAACGAAAATCGGCATGAATGACATCAGTCTGGGCCTCGTATGCGCATACGGTGTCTCACAGAAGCTCTTTCGATACAATTTAAATCCAGTATTTCATTATGGTGAGAGAGGGAGAGAGCAGGGCGGCCCTCAGCAAGGAGCATTATGCTGTCTGAGGCATCACAGGCTTGTCCTGTTAGCGCTCTTGATTTATAGACGAATTCGGCAGCCACCGGCACCGGCTGGCTGCGGCATTGTCTTTGAAAACCGCGCCGGACGAATCAACATGGGCGGCACGAACATACTGAATTCGAGGTTTCTTGTCTATGTGATCGTTGAAATCACCTGTTCAAAACCATCCAAATGTGACAGGTGGTCGAAAAACAATCGTTTCTAGGGAGAGTCTGATATATTTCAGAGGCTTTCAGGTTTTGTGCAAAAAGAGGTCAGCTCGATTGTTTATACTTTTACAGTACAAACCAGGAACTGTTTATCTTTTAAGTAAGAAAATGACCAAATAGAAGTACATACTTCTAAAGTATGTACCTGAAAGGGTGAATATTTCTGCATGGAAAAAGAAGTGTGTAATGACATTCATTTTATTCAAGTGGAATACAAAAAAACGGAACTGGTTGTTTTTAGTTCCAAGGTAGTAGTAGTCTTTCTAAGGCAGGTAAACTTTCTTCAAAAAGAAATATAATAAATTGTGTCACTCATACCAGTTCCGCGATTTGTACCACCATTTTTGTTAAATTATACCGGAATACTCATGCAAAAATTGGATGTATGATAGCTATGCTTCGTTCCATAGTTTACTAGACTATATGTGTGGTTTTTATACTTAAATTAAGCAAATATTTTCAGTTATATTTTTGTTTGACCAATGTACTCCAATCGGTGATTCTTATGTTTAAATTAGCTAGTCAATGCTTTTCGAGTTAGATGAATATCTTAAGATAATTCGTTAGGGTAATATTTTGTCTTGACTATGTTCCTAATTTATAATCTCTATTAACTTCTGCAAACAGGATTTTTCCTAACAATAGAAAGTGCAGCTAGTTATGCCAACTCCTAAAGCCAACAACCCAGAACAAATTAGTGACTTACAAACTTTAGAGTTCACTTGGACTATCTCTTATAGTTGATGATATAATCTACAATTTGGATAAGAACAAGCAACAGTTCTTGTCACTTTCGACTTAGTAGGGAGTAAGGTTTTTGACATAATGGGCCACGATCTCCTTCTAGCCACGTGTACTTGTCTTGTATTTGATGAATAGGTGGTTCTGGGCACAAGTATTTCGAATTTACAGAATAGTTCTTCAGGAGTACCACAACATTCAGTTCTAGGACATCTTAGCATATAAACATTCGATTTGATCGTCAAAATTAAAAACTCGAGTGCAACTTGTTATGCCGATGATAATTATTCTTAAGTTTATTTTAAAATGGCTGAGGCTAAAATTAGTATTGACCTAGAAAGTATTAATAGCTTGTTTCCCGTGTATCCCCCTATAGCCCCACGGTACCCCATGGGTGCTTAGGCCTTAGGCCTTCGTGGTAGTTGGAGTATAAAAAAAATAGCTATTCTGCTATAGAGAACTTAATCTTTGTTAAATATATTTTATGTACACTTTAACACATTTTAGAAGAATTTAATACTTTATTTATTTTATCACGTATACAGAAACAGTCTATAGTTTATAGTTTAATATACACCTAATTTATACTTTTTTATATTTTAATATTTTGGTTGAGTCGATTGGCCAATGCATTTCCTTAATACTACGTACTACTGATGTTATATTGTAATGTTAACAATGCAATAAATAAATATTGATATTACTATTACTATGTGTAAATTGGCTAATCACAACGTCTAGTTCATCACAATATTTTGTTTTGCACATTTGTTCAACTAGCAATGAAAATATAATGTTTTTTGGTGAGGTAGAATTTAAAAACCGCGTGGTAAGTCATAACGAACCAGTTCGATCAATTGTATCTATAGCAACATTTTTAAAAATCCTTCTCTAAAGTCACAGTATTTACATACGTTTTTTGTTTTACATTTTCTTATAAACCTGTAAAATAATCTCACTCTGAATTATAATCATTCAATTCAAATGAATCATTTAGGTTTTTTGATAAAATGGTACGAATTAACCCACTTTATCCTATTTTTGGGAAAAAAGATATGTTTAGAAATAATATGAAAAGTACCTATAAGCATGGGTTTTAAGACATCCCCAAGATACAGGATGTTGAGTTATCATTTAGAAATCAAAAACATATAAATACCCAGAATGGATACATTTTTCCTGTTGAAATTTTGAACACATAGAAAGAGCATAACCGGTACGTCCCCAAGTTTTAGGAAACCACAGGTTTCTTGTCTATGTGCTCATTGAAGTCTCCTGTGGTGTTTTTCATTTGTCGCCATTTTCTTTATTTCTAGACCTTCATTTTTTCTATGTGGAGCAAATTGGTAACAGCTACAACTCTAGTGATTTGTCTTCAGCCTCCCACTAGGATGTGATTCCTCCATTTTCTGATGATGGTGTGAATGGCGTATGTAGTACCTACGCCAATGTGATGGTATAGCGGCATTGGTCGGTGAATATGTTTTACATTCGGCGATCGGCCGGTGTATATAGCATCTCGACACAATCCTCATAATGACCTTTCTTCCCATACCTACAAGTAGAGCCGCACTCGGAGATTTCAATGGGGCCGATCGCCGCTTCACGCGGTGATACCAAACTGCGATCTCTAACGTCTATACAGATATGGCCATAGTCGAGTGTGGATTCACAATCGAGCTCAAGAATAAATGATCAGTAGATTTTCAGTTGGTAGATAGGTGTCGCTGGGCAAAGCATATCGTGCAACAAAAATTCGTTGATCCAAGGAGTTAAATATTCCCCACCAATCGTAGTGTTCTGTGAGAATTTGGACATATTGATGTGGCAGGTAGTATGAACGGAGATACTTCACAGCAAACACATTTCTCACACACTATTACACCACTTTTGATGACATTTTCAAGTAAAACTTGCCGAAAGCTTAAAAAATCTACAGCCCAACTTTTATAAATTTTTTACAAAATCAACACTTTTTAAATTGAAATGTTTAATAAACGCCAATGTATAGTGCTTACTAATTAACAAAACAGATTGCGCCAAACGTGGTTTCTTACTCATTTTTATTTAGTCAAACATCTTATATCCATCACTACACACAAAAGTCAAAATTTCAAACGTTTCCAGACTAATTTCGTAAAAATTTTACAAAATATTACATAGAATTGAACTGTCTCGGCAGCTCAAAATTCCAGGGCCGGATTCAATTTTTCATTTCTTCGCTTTTAACAGTAGGTTTTTCTTAATTTTCGTAATAATTTTGAGTTGGTCTTGAACATCAATTCCAGTGCTGGTAGAGTTGAATCATCAACAAAATTACCGAAAAAAGAGCTGCATAGCTTTTATTTTGCCTTTTGTTCATATCGTTTATTGTTCTTTCTTCTGCAAAATAAAAAATAATTCGGCTGTGGAATTTAAAATTCCCATATATCTTTAGTTCAAGTTTGAGCATTCATTTGTAACATGCTGATCAAATAAAATTGGTACCGTTTGAAATTTTGAGTTTTGTGACACACAAATTGATAGAAATAAGACATTCAAATAAATATGCATAACAAAAAAAAATAAAAGAGGCGCCATCAATCTATTTTGGTAAATAATTAATTAGCTTCAACATTCAGTCTAAAGCTATTGATGTTAATAACAGACGAGAAAGTTAAAAATCGAGATTGACTACAGATTTGTTAATCATTTGCCTAGTTTTACGTTACTCCTGGTAACTTTGTTATTCTGCAAAATTTCGTCAAAAGCGCTTCAATAGTGCCGGAGATATGCGATGGCATAACAAATGTACTCGGATTTTTTTATTTTTTTATTTTCAGATATGAAAATGTGTCGATCCACACTAGCTTCCATTTTACTATATCCATTTCCTCACGGAACACCCTATATACGTAGTTCTCAAGGAACTGTTTAGAAATATTCAGAAACAAGTGACCTTTTATCAGATACTTCTGAGACATCCAAAAATATGTTGAAGGTGCTTTCTTTGATTACGGAATCCAATGACATTCTTTTCTTATGGTTCAGCTGTACTGCCAAACTTTTATATTCATCTTAAAGAGTTATTTGGGCATGACAAGATGATTTTGTATAGAATGTCTATGAATGAGGACATTGGCAGAGACGAATGAGCGAACAATCAGTTGGGCTATTTCAGGCGCCTTGACAGTCCTTTTTGTTACTAAAGCGATAATGTATGCCAATTTTCCAGCTACCATCCCGAATATATCGATCACCAATACGTGCTCATGTAGATATCGTTCTGAATAGCCTTCCTTGCGAGTGTGTATTTTATGAAGAGCTTACTGGGAGTTATGATATCGGCAAATAGCTTTATGCATAGATTCTAATGCACTCTATAAGATACGTTATGAATAGTTACTGCATAAACTGGTGAGTTATTCAGCCTCATTTCTATCGATCGCAACTTACTATCCAAACAGCTGTTAGAACTTATGGTACTTGTAGGACGTTGGAATGTGTCATGTAAGATAGAGACGCTCTTCATAACATTGCAGTGAAACGTTCAATAGATGTGGATAACTGACTGATAGCAATTAAATTCATAACCAACGCCCTGCTTCTGTAAGAAAAAGTTTTATATTTGAAAAACTAGGAGATCTATTAGGACCAAGTTCAAAGAAGACTTGGCAGATTTAATACATAGTACAGTAGACAGATCGAGCAAAGCGGAACACATAATATGGACATAAATAATTAAATACTAGTCCGTAATGTTAGGAATCCTAAGAAACTGAACGCATATAAAAGATTATAAATAGCTGGGGACTGTAATGAACAAGGACAGACGATCTATTTCTAACAGCCTCTTGTATGCTCTAGATGTTTGAAGCCAATCTGTGCTTATGACATGTTATTCTGACAAGCCAACTTTGTGATAACATATTTATAATTAGCGATCCGAAAAATCCTAAGTTATAATTTTTGAGATTAAGTGTCAGACCTTAGTCAAATTTTTTGAGTTTTAAGTTTTTTTTTTCAGGTAAAGTATTAGACTTTCAAAAATATGGTTCTTGGGCCATTATTATTCAGGGTATGAAAATTGTCTGCAGTATTGCTCTAGGGCCAGACCATCCTTGACGGTCCAAGTGAGTTCATTGTATTTCCATTAACTAACCATTGAATAAGGCTCCAACTGGTTATCAGCTTTTCAAAATTTCGTAGAAGAGTACTTTATAAACCAACAATGCATAGTGTCCAATATTTTGTGGACATAGAAGTACCAGCTATTTTTTTACTCAAAATGAATCGAGTGTTCATGATTGATCTATGCAAAAGTGCTTCAATTGTCCTTGAGACAGCGTCAACGTTTTCTTTTTTACGAACATTTTTAAGATGTTTTAAGAACATGTTTTTTGCTAGATGTCCTAGTATTTAAACATTACAAAAAACCTGAAAGGGTTCGAGAAGGGTAGAGACCCCCACCCCTATATAAATTATAGCTGAATTGTTTCGCAATTCTCCCAAAAGATCCTTTTGTTAACTTAATTTGTTGTCTTGTATCAAAATAGACCATCTCGCAATGTTTTTCGGTACTGTTTTTTTCTCATCAGATCAAGTGCTAAAATCCAGTGTCATAATATTTTTGATAACAAGCTTGAAAATAATGTGTTCTGACTCCCTCCCCAAAACACTTTTGCATAGAGGTATATCATGTCCAGTCGACTTATTTTGAGCCCTGTATAAGATCAGCATCATTCAAAATGAGAGACTGACAGGATGTCAAAGTTGTGCGTTTTTGTACTACATTGAATCGTTTGTAACTCAACAACCAATCGGTAGCCACCTTGAGATTTTTTACTCACTTATATGCTAAAGTATTCTAATTATTTCACAGTTTCATCATCTCAAATTTGGGTGGACGTTTTTGCTAAAGATTAATGTTACTATACAGGGTGTTTCAGAACTAAGGGATCAAACTTCTAGGGGTTATTCAGTGTAACAGTAGAAAACATTTGAGTATAGGGAGCCATATCCGGAATAGTTTCACTACGGCACTACAGCTCTAAGACGCGTTAAAATTTAGAAAGACGATGAGTCGCCTAAATAGGATTTAATACATTTAATTTTTTGTACATGATATCATCACAACAATTGTTCAAAATGTCTTCCTCCAACATGAATACACCGGTTTAAACGTCGCACATCATTTCGGCGGACTTTACATGTCCCCGCAGGAAAAAATCTAGCCACGTTAAATCGGGTGACCTAGGAGGCCAAGAAACTGCAATCCAGCGGTGCCCAAACCGCTGAGCCAAATACTCACGTACTTGTACAACAAGGTGAGCCGGCACTCCATCATGCTGAAACCACATTTGCTGTAGAACGATAAATGGAACATTTTCAAGAAGTTCTGGAAGAACTTCCTCCAAGAAACGCCGGTAAATAGGTTAACCGTTCCGGTAGAAGGTATGACCCAATCAAATAATCATCAACAATGCCTGTCCATACGTTGGTAGACCAACGTTGCTGATGTTTTCTAGGAAAAATTGCATGGGGATTTTCTTTGTCCCAATCGTGGCTATTACTACTATCAAAAATACCGTCTCTTGTGAAAGAGGCTTCATCGGTCCATAAAACATAGCATAAAAAATATGGTTGTGCAGCGATTTGATGAAGAAGCCATTGACAAAATTGAACTCGTCGGCAACTCGTTGAAGGACCTCTTCTTCAAATTCGACCGTTCTTACGGTTCGAGCAACACTAGTATCGTGCATGCTGGTTTTCAACATGCCTGTCTCAGAGAGCCGCCGATGAATAGCAATAAACTTTTTGTATCCCGGATGCTGTCGTTTGGGATAACGTTGTTGATACAACTGCGCTGCTGCTCGTGCATTGTACTTTTGCTTCGTATGCCAAATGCATCTCCGCCAATTCTTGATTGGTAAAGTTTTCCATTTGCAACAATTATTTTTTGTTAAATTCTTGCAAACTTCACAAATACGATAGCACGACTAAGGCGATATGGAATGCACCTACAAAAAACAACCTTTGTTATCGTTTTTAAAGATAACTACACACAAGCGCCAGGCATGGGTCCCTATACTCGAACGTTTTCTACTGTTACACTGAATAACCACTACAAGTTTGATCCCATAGTTCTGAAACACCCTGTATAGTGTACAGGTCACGGTGCAGATAGTTTAAACTTGATACTGTACCGGCATTTCGTTGCTAATCAGATACATTTTGATGCAAAAAGCAGCCGAGTTCAACAAGCGATTTCGTTGACGGATCGCGATGACTCAGTTATTCAACCGACAAGACCAAAACGTCCAAAAAGCCGTTTCCCCATAAATGCATAAAGTACAAGCTGTATACACCACGAATACCGCAAGAAAAAGTAACAGCAGCCTCAGCAGCAGCATTACGGTACAAGAGAGGATCACGTCGCTTCTTTGTCTAGTGGTTGTGGATGGCAGAGAAGGAACTCGAGCACCGGCAAAACATATACATCATCGGCTCGTGATAGCTCATCAACGAAACGGAGCAAAAACTCTCTCTTCTCTCTGCACCACAGCGCTCCTTGTAAATAGCAAACTGAGATCATACAAATAATCCAGGAAAGTTCAACTCCAGTACTTAGAGGAACAGTTTTGATATTGTACACTTGCATATCTCCTTTCAGTAAAAAAGATAAAAATTTCTCTTCCTGATCTACCGCCAGTACCGACCGTCTGGCAACGTTGCTAAACCTGACACAGGTATACGTCCGTTTTGTTGCGTGCAACGCGTATATTAAAATTATTTCTGTCAAAATCTTAAGGGCAAATGTGGATGATCTATGATGTAAGACATTTGTCTAATAGGTGCATAGAATAGAATAAACCTCAATTACACGAGCAGACTGACAAGTTTGTCGCGCATATTATGCTCCGATAAACGTATTCTTAGTGCGGAAAATGTCATCAACAACAACTGAATTTTATAACGTTTTGAGGTGTGAACATCATGGACTGCAGTGGTATATAATTAAATCATTCTTTGAAAGTAGTTCATATAGTAGAAAACGTCAATTCGGACCATTGGTTGGACCAATTTTTTACAAAATTATCTCGAAAAAACAAATACCATATTTCGCTATCTCAACTATAAAGAACATAGGCGAAATCAGCAATGTTACAACTGGACAAGATGCCGAATTTCTTCACCAAAGCTGCTGCAATAGGAAAAATGATTTTATGGCCATTGAGAAGCATAAGCACATTTTCTGTTCCAATGCCTGTATGAAAAGCAGGAGCAAGATGACAAGAAGGTTGAGTTTTTAAATGAAATAGGGATTTGCAACGTGAAATTGAAGTAAAAAAATAACTACATCGCCTCACTCAGGAAATGCTTTTGAAAACGACGCTATAGAAACCGAAAAAATCTACAGCGATGAAATTGAATCCTACTATAGTGTATTTACACCCAAGATAGAATGGATGCGTGATTGCCAAAAGCAAGCGCGGCGTACAGGTCCGCATTCAGGGCTACCAACCAAGCAAGGTGAATACGAAAACACGAGCAAGCAGTGATACACGCGACGGACGGTGGCCTGATTGCTACTCTGCCTGCCCTGCCCCTCCCCGCGCATTATTCCGCCAGGCGACCGCTTAAAATTTAATGGCGAATTGACCAATAAGAGGCGTTGTCCCCACCTGTTACCGAGAGATCACGCTCTAACTATTATTATTTACATCTCATCTTGAATTTGGATTCAGTTTAGTGTAAGATCAAGGGCTTTGAGTACCAAATTTCACAGCTAAAGTCAGAAAATGCTGCACTGCATAGACAGGTCACATCGAATTCACATCGGTCATATAACTCCGACTCATATTGCCATCAACCGATCTCCACCCCATCCAAACCTATGGAGATGGACTGTAGAACCAGAAAGGATCAAGACCGCAATTAACTATAATCACCGTTGAATAATTTGGTATAAAATTCTGATGCGCTTACTAAATCCCTGTCAGATCAAACCAAAAAATTGAGATATACCTTCTCCAACCCCTACAGTCCCCAACTTCCCATTTTTTGATCCTTACAACATATTTTCTGAAAATGATCACGAGAATGAAATGTCAAAAAACGAAGTGTGATTGGTTTTTTCATTCAATCTATAATCAAGAACGACAGAGCCTTTCTATCCTTGGAACAGAAGTAATTTTGAGTCAAACTTTTATCAAAATCCCACCGGTACTGACCGATAAACCGATAGGCAGACGGACATACAAAAGGAAACGAGTGTCATGGTTTTTCGTGATGCATCTGTCATGTAACATCCAAAAGACGTAATATCTCAGTTTTGAAATACAATACTTGCTAGCCAATTGGTGTGTAAAGTAATTAAATAGAGATAGTGATATCCAAAATTGAGTTGAAGGTGGGTCTTGGTGTTGCTTTGACTCGTCAAAAGACGCAGTCACAGTTTCCTTCATTTTTCTTCTGAAGGAAGGCTTCCAAGTTGGGGTCAAGGTCATTTGCGTCCGAGGTCAACTACACTTTGAATGTATCTCCAGTAAAGAAACCTTTTGAATCATGATGCTGCCTTGTGCCTCAGTTTCCTTTGAGATACACAAATGTTTAAAATCGCTCGAGCAAAATCATATTCTTTGAAGGATAAATAGGTCACGATAGTCAACGATTATTTAATGGAGCTCTCTCACGTTCGACACACTCTTTTCTCTGAGGTGATGGATTTGGACCTACCCAATGATGGATGGAATTTATTGGGGTAAATGATCTCCAGAATCAAATATTTAAATCTGGAGGGTAAAGAAGTTAGAAATTTCTCACACCAACCCCAACTTAGGGGTTGAAGATAACACTCTTGGAGTTTGCAGTAAGTGAGGCTACTTTGATTCACTTTTTTTGAAGCATTCCCGAATACTGTTTCTTTTAGACTGGAGAGTAGAGGAGGTTTATAGATTCCTCATACCCTACCCGCAGTATCAGATTCTCCAAAATTTGGTATACTTATAAAGTCCTTAGTCATTCGCCATGAAGATCACGCCACGGATGTGCATTACAGCATTTTGTCACGCTAAAATTCGTCTCCCTTTACCTTATACATATACACTTAAAAACCTGTTGTTGGTTTCCCTGCTCCTTTTTACCGTCATATACCGTGATCAACAACATTCGCCTTGATATTGGTTGAATTTCAACCAATTTACCCTCTCTTGAAAGCTTCTCAAAAACGTAAGCAGTGAGGCTCTCGTCGAGCGTCTGTTCCAGTGGTCTCTGACGGTCAACCAACCTACTGCATTCGCTTATTCTCTCTTGCCTAGCTACTATGGCTATCTCCACTATTCATCTGTCAATCATCTCTGGGACCAGTTTTCTAGCTCATGTTCCAAAGCTGATCGACTGTGTTGTGTGGGTTATAGTTACACATACTTATTAATCATCTTGTGAGTCTAGTTTACCTGCACTAAAAATCACAGATAGGAAGAAATATCATTGTTCACGATTGTTCGTGGACAGCGTGCATTCACTGTGGTGGCACGCGTACACTATAATATACCGCTCATCCAAGGTTTTTCTTTGATGCGCGGGTCTAGGAAATTGTCATTTATATGGCATTCTTAATATACTCGTGATTGCTGAAGCGGGTTTTTATTGAAAATACCCCATTCGAAAAAGATAGGAGTGTCATCCTTCATTATTTTATTGTCGTATTGTAACAATGACGAAAAAGCTTAGACAATTGTGCCTGATTCAATAAATAAAGTGAAATGATAAAAGACTTCGTTCATAATGTCTCTATTACTTTTTCGTATACAGGGGGATTCTTGAGGCTATGCTTTTCATAAATAGTGCCTATGGCTAACTAAAATGTAGCTAGATCTCTTAGCTGGGCCAGTGGCGCGCGAAAAATAACAACATTTTGGATAACCGTAGTAGTTTTAGATTTTTTATAAAAATATTTTTCCGTTGCATTACGATGCTCAATATAAGTTACTTACATCCAAATTGGTGTTAGGTCTGTTCATCAAAAAACTTACCTAAAAAAAAGAAAAACATAGTTATTAACATAATTCCAAAATATTAGTATATTTTTATATGTATCTAACTCCATCACCAGGTAGTAAAGGATGAGCCATCAGTTGCTTTTTCTTAAGTTGGTATTATTTTGATAGTTAGTAACACTTCCATGCTCAACATCTTGACAGATATATTGTGTCAAACTTCCGCTATGAGCAATGGATCGTTTTAATCTTGAACAAAGGTGAGAAATATTGAAAATCTATTTTCAAAGTGAGTGCTGTGTTGCAGAAACTTTTCGAAAATTGAGAAGACTATTTTTGGTTGAAATGAAGCTCCGTCCGCGACTGGTACACGAAAATTCGTGAAGAATTTTCGTGAAACTGGCCTGCTTGTGGATAACAGCAGGAATGAGCGTGTGAGCCGAAAACATTGCTGCTGTTGCCCAGAGTGTGCGTGGAAACACAAGAATATCAACTTGACACAGAGCACGACAAGTGAGCATCAGTCGCACTTCTGTGCGGAGAATATTGCATAACGACCTGGGATTATTTCCTTACAAGGTGCAACTTGTGCAAGAGTTGAAACAAAATGTCCATCCGCTTCGATATCGTTTCTCTGTGTGGGCTCTAAATCAATTGAAAACGGACGTGAAAGTTGGTCGCCAATTCCATCTGGGAAGTTACGTTAACAAGCAGAACTGTAGGATTTGAGGTTCTGAAAATCCGCATGTCATAAAAAAACCAATACATCCAAAAAGAGTAACTATTTGGTGTGGCTTTTGAAGTGGTAAGATTATTGGTCCTTACTTTTTTCAAGATGAAGCAATTGATCCTTTACACACTATGTTCGGCCATCGTGTTATCAGCCGTTTTGGAGAGGTTCATAGGCCAGCCGCCATTAATGACCGCTGGTACACTAACGATCCTCAAACAATTGATGTTCTTAAGGAAAATATCCGTCGAACTATTGATGAAAGAGACCTACAAACTATCAAAAATGTGCTTCAATATTGGGTTAAAAGGATGGACTACTGCCAGGCCAGCCGCCCCAGCCATTTAATTGAATTTTTTTCACAAATAATAGGAAGGTGAATTATTTTGAATAAAGTATGGAGTGTTATATATTATTGAATAGTGTAGTTTCAATACCAATTTAAAGGAAGCCAACGGATGGCTCACCCTTTAGGTGTGTCTGTATTCTATCAGATATGCCACTAAAGCAGCCGTGTAAATATTGGACCACTACGACAGCTATAAGGTACTTAAAGATGCCTTGTTTAGCCGACTTTTGAAATACTTCAGGTTAACAGAACTAAGTAAAGCCTCCTCAGGCAGATTTTTTCGGAATCTAGGCAACCTAGGAACAAAGGCGCGGTCGTACTAAGCCGTTCTGGATGTACAGATCGCTCGGTGAGAGCACAGTGGAGCAAGGCGCGTTGACAATAGCAGTAGAAGAGTGCAAGACGTATTTTTCCTCCTTGCTACGATCTACTTATGTTAGTTGGTGTGACCTCGCTCATTTTGGGACACGCAGTGCAACTTAAATTCACTTTGATCCTAAGGCAGCAATTTTCACGAGAATCACTGCCAAAAAAAAACTAGCATTTTAAATGTTTATATTCTAATGTGCTAATGGACAAATCTACCTTATACCGGAATCTTTGACACTATGGTAATACCCACGTTATTTGTAGATGTCCAATATCCAATCCAAGCAAGCATTAACATTATAGTAAACATCATGCATAAGTTGATAAATAACCATCTTGGTGTTTTACAGTTACAATTAGTAACCTATAAGTTCATTCACACATGCACACTAGAACTCTTGTTAGGAAAAATCACCTTTCAAAATCGGACACGAGTGTCTGGTCAAGTTAGAAAGGCGCGAACACGACTTCCCAAAATAGCACAGTAAAGCTAGCTTAAAGATTACGAAAACTAAATACATGGATTATAAAAAGCATCTCACACAGCATTTGGACTCACTTTAATACATATTTGCAAAAACCATTGAAATTAACCTAAATTTTATAGAAAACATGAAAGCTTCATTTTTTATGACAGCTGTGGTAGGTAAATGTTATACATGAACATAGTATGACGTGGATACAGTCATGGAAGAAGATAGAAGACACTAATTTTTTGAGCGAGTAATCCAATGAAAGAGGCAAAAATTGTTGAGCAAGTTCATCGCCCACCTCGCCACTGACAATTGTTTCTTTAATAAAGTGAGGGATTTTTGGAGCATGTGCTAAATCAACTTCCAGGAAGTGGTTATTCCTCCTTTATTCTGCCCCAAATAAAAACATTTAATATTTAAAGGTACATGTCTATTTCCATACAGTTTTTACCCAAATCCTTCAGAAGGACGATTATGTTTTTCGGGCGTATATGTATGTAATTCTATTTCAGTCCAAACACCTTGCTGGTTTTTGACTTGAGGTGTCTCTAGATTTGTCTGAACGGTACAAGTGAGACTGATGTTAAAATTTTATGAAATCGCAATGGCAGATTTCAAACATAAATTTCTACAGCCTAAATGGCTTGATGGATTTTGACATTTTCGGTGTCCTTAAATTCATCTTGATATTACAATTAAAATAGCGCTGCTTTCAGATTATTAGATGTCCTCATAGCAGTAATCTCTGAAAGTAGTGAGATAATTAGGTAAACTGTGAAAAAAATAATCATAGTAAACATTAAAGCAAACCATGTGCAACTTGGGGCACCCCCATGAATGAGGGCATTGAAACTCATCATCCTAATCCTTTTCACAAAGGCTATGATTGACATCCACGAAACTGTACCAATGAACAAAGGTGCTGTCCTCAACATAGATCACTTTAGCCTTAAGGTTCTGCTTGTTCTACTGTAATTGAGCAGCTCAGTGGCGTAATAGTTAGGCTATGGGTGTACTTCACGTCCAAAGAAATTGGCTTTGGATGTTGTGATTTTCTTTAGGTGGTAGACGGTCTCAGACTTTCGAATGTGGAGGTACCACCTGGCGTATCTCTCAAGGGGACCAGAATGTGTGCATAAGACCTCACGACTTCCGGCTTTAGTGAAGTAATTGTCGATCATTCACATACTTTAAGGTTTATTAATAACACTACATAAAAGGTAAATGTCAATTTGCATCTACGTTTTGAATAAGACTCCAATGTCTGGCCGAATTAAAACCACATATATTTTTAGATTTATTATTATTGTCGGACCTTTCGACCACCACCGTGGCCTTTTTCGAATACAATTGATAGTTCTGTCAGAATAAATTTTGTTTTCTGTCTTCCAGGTGACGTTTCGTATCTTTTTTTCCTATACACTGTATTATTACAATAGTCTGGACGATCTAATTTCAAGATGGCACCACGCAAGACCAGCAAAGCCCAAAAGGATGTCCAAAGCGACAAGCGAGCATGAGGTCATCTCTGCCGTGTACCAGTCAAGTCACCCTCGCCCATCGTTCCAAGAACGCCAAAAGTCACTCAAGAGTTAATTGTTATGCAAGATTCGACTACAAATGCATTGTTAGGGTACCATGTTGTTTGTTTTGTGAAGAAATAATCGAACACTTTTAGATGTTACATTGTTCTAAGATCCCTGAATATATTTATTATCAATCAGCTAGTTCTACATGTTAGAAAGGTCCGAGGAACACGATGTATTTCCATAGAGTGAGAGTTCACGTCTGTGGTACGTGAGGGTCCCCCATCTAGCGTCTAATTGAAAAATATGACATAAGTGATGCGATTAGCGTTGAAATGTACGCGGTAAGCACCGGTCGTTTGTCTTCGAAGCTGGAGAAGGTCGAGTCGAAGATTTGTCAAAATGACAGAACATTAGTATGGGCGTAGCGTGTAGTTGAAGGATACAGAAAGATGAGTGGAAGTGTTCAGATTTCTTTACGTCGTTTTACAAGGAACGTATATGTGTTGAGGCAGTTAAAAACCATCTGAACAACTGAACAACTGATACCAGCTTATTTAAGCCAATGTGGATGTGAGGTTGAGGTATGGGGAATGTTTTTGATGTTGGTCAAATATTTCATAGATTTTAACAATTTAACTATCTCTCCGTTGTATGTATATGAATTGTGCTTACATGTTTTCAAAAATAATGATAATTTTAACTAAACTGTGCATGCATGTATAATTATGATACAGGAACTAGTAATAATTTATATGTAAACTTTCGATAACCTAATAAGATTGATGGTCCTCTTCTCTTCAACAATTTTCCAAGCCACATTAAGTCAATTCAAAATATTAACCAGTTCAAGTTCCAGTTATAGCAATTTTTGATACACAAATGATTTTATCATGTTTACGACTTTTTTAACATCCTTATTTAAGATCACATATAGACTGGGAGAATTGACAGTTGCAATACAATTGCAAAAAGTTTTTGGATTTGGATTTAGATTTTTTTCTAATTCTCAAGTATAATTCCATGCGGTACATGGTGAAAATACAATCTCGCGAAACGGGATCCCGCATTCTCGTAAGAGCCCGCTCTATTTATTGGCCTTTGGGATCCCGTACCTCCAAAATACGGATTCTCTGGTATTTAATCTCTCACGTAAAAGTGTGAAAATTCATTAATTCTCACTTTACAATCATTGCTCTTATTTTTCATTTAAATATCAATCACACAGATGCCGAAATGAAAAGGATGTAAGCTAAACTTTTATAATACGAGTATACGAAGTATGTCATTGCCGAGTTAACGATTTTTTCCAAATTGTAGAAACATTCCCAAAAACTGATACAGGATGCTTGAGTATTGAAACCGCATTTTTCTATCCCAAACATGCTGTTACTTGTTCCTTGTTGCCATGCTGATACGATATATTCGCAAAAAACTTTTATTCCACCAACTGGTGACGAAAGACTCACCATCAAAATTGAATTATGGCGACAAAGCTGCATGACTTGATGAACAAAATCTGGTGTACCACAAAGTTCTGTTTTAGGGCCACTACTATTCACATTATACACCTTAAATTTGACCACAGT